ATATTAAAATGATATAGAATGAAGTATGAAGCTCTCCAAAATGAACAGTTGTGTTATATACATAAACATATATGTATATTTAATTTACCCTAATTATATTGTTTCATAAATGAAATTTTATATAAAACTGAATTTATTTATCAAGATAATCTTCCGGAACTTAACACTTGATTCAATACTCCTTCAAGCAAAAAGATTCGTTTATGTAGTGGTTGTTGATAACTTGTAAAAAAAATATTAGTGCATACTTGGTATTAGCTCCTTGCATATAATGTGGAAAGCGTCAGAATTTAGACGGAGTTAATTTATTAAAGGATCTGCGACAGTCATTTACACTGTGCAAATAACACATAAAAGCTTTTTCACATGCATCAAGTAACTTATGTCAATAGAAACGATAATATCTTAAAGTTACTTAAGTAACTTACTAAGTAAGCAGTGGAAACATTGTATAAGAACTAGCAATCGCTCTCTGCACACAACATGTGGTAGGCACGTCTTCCTTTGTGTGTTCAATGTATTTACTATAATTAGGGCGTAATCTCCTCGCCAGGATCTAGATCACGAGGACCTTAGTTTGACATTAGTTTGAGTATTCAATGAAGTGAATACAGCTGAGATAGAGATCACTTGACGATTAATCTCATGGGGTTTTGGGCTTCTGTCATTCATAGTAAGTTGTAGTTACTGATTTTATAGAGACATATTTAGATACTTAGTTGACATCTCTTTACGGATTATTAAAATAAAAAATTCTTTTGAATTTATTCCGAAAGAAAACAAAGATATAAAAATAAGTACCAAGCAATGCTTTAAAGTAGAATAATTATTTGAAATTATTTGAATTAAGAGTATTTGAAGTAATGGCGAATAAAAAATGCGTAATAATTACTCAAGTAAAAATATTTTTGTAATTATCTGTCTTTCAATAGAGCAATGTTTTAATAAACTTTCTGAAATGGCATTTGATGCTATAATAATTAGTTTGTGGAAGAGGATTGAGAATAAATTTTTGTTTATACAATACTTTACTATGTAGACTGAATACAGTACAAATGCTATACATATACAAAATAATGAAATTTATGACAAAAGGTGCATTGCAACTATTTGCATTACAATATCTTTTAGTAGCTCATAAAAAGTTATGTCGAGGAAAGCTTGTATAAATTTATGTCAAAGCAAAAAATAAAAAAATAAAAAGTAAAAAGTTCTGTTCATTTGAATTTTTATTTTCTCTCATATTTTACTGCATAAACGTGAATAAAATTTGAAATGATAAAAAAATATTAAATAAAATAATGCACATAACTGAGCAGAAAAAGTAAGGCAATAA